GTATCTTTTAATTACTTCTTTTGCCAGAAATCCAAGATGAGCACATTCTTGTGGAATTCTTTAACTAAATTATCCCTAGAAATATCTCAGTCCCAAAAATGTTGAAGTTATAGATCGTAGAATAAATTAGACCACGGGGGTTTTGACATTGTATATATCCTCTGGGTTATAAAGATCATTCGTAGAAGTTATTTTGGAAATGTAATGATAGCAGAATTTTGTAATGATGCTACTTGCTTGTGATTCTCAATTGAAAATAAAAACTGGTTCAGTGGTAGAAAGCTATGAAACTTTTCGGGGTGGAGGACATAGAATAATAATAAGATTGGAATAATTTGCTGTGCACAATTGGCTGCCGCGTTTCACCCACAAAATATACAATCAATTCACTTTACAATATATTCTATGAAGTGCTTTGAGACATCTCAAAGACGTGATAAGGCGCTATATCAAATACAAGGAACAGTTTTATTAAAGGGTTCTGAATTATCACATTCCAAGAAGCTTGGAAGAGATTTCGATATGGAGAGTTGATCTGCAGGGAGAAGAAGATAGAGAATAGCTGGGGTACTTTCTAGAAAGAAATTCTCAGCCTTAAAATAATCAAGGCTTACTATTTAAAATTGGACAAAGTCAATTAAAAACAATATTATCTTGCCATATTCAAAACAAATACTTATTGGAAAGATCTGGAAGTGGGGAAACCGGCAAGGAATGCATTTGCAAAGTCAAATCAGGAAGGGTAATAAAAGCTTGAATGAAGGTATTAGTGGTAGTTTGTATGTGATAGGAATTAAGGCCAGGGAGACTGAGGAAACAGATCCAACAGTGAGTAGACTTTGGTAGGAGCCAAGGAGAATGACTTCTGTCGTATACTCGATGAGCTGCAAGAAGTTGAGGCACATCCAGACCTTGATTTCTTAAATAGAAAAGTAGATTTGGGTGTCATCCACATACATGTCTACAAGCGTCACCAAGAGAGAGATAACCAAAATCACTCAGAATAGAGCCCTTAGGTACCCCGCAAATGACCGGGCGAGGGCAGAAGGTGAAACCATTTGAGGAGATAAAGTGGACGCATTAGATTACGTACAATTGGAATCAAGAGTGTATGGTCCCTTCGTCCCTTGGAAGTGGATGAAAGAGAAGTGATCGAGAAGGGTGAGGGGTCAACAGTGTCAGAAGCAGCAGCAGAGAGCAAGATTGCAGAGGAAAGCTCTGTCGCAGAGAGTGAAAATGTCATTGGTAACTGACAAGGGCAGTCTGAGTGCTGTGTTTGGGGCAGAAAAGTCTGGTCTGCTTGTGCTGCTCTAACCTCTCCGCCCACCATTGATGGCCAAACCTTCAGCAACTACACCCCAAGCTCTGCAACTCCATCCTTCTAACCTCCGTCTCACTCCCTCTCTATCTGTCTTTAAATCCTGCCTGAAAACCTACTTCTTCTCCTCCATAAAATAACAACTTGCATTTATATAGTGCCCTTCACACGGGGTAGCATCCCAGAGCGCTTGATAGTGGCAAGTCTGACCCCCAGCCAAGAGGAGAGGGAGAGGGGGGAGGTGATAGTAAGCACAAGCAAAAAGGAAGGTCGTTAGGCGGGATTTGAAGGTGGGAGTGAGGGGGCAAGGCAGAGGGATTGAGGGAGAGAGTTCCAGAGTTTTGGGCCATAGTGGCTGAAGGCACGGGGCTAAGGGATGAACAGGAGGCCAGAACCGGTCGAATGAAGGCAGCAGGTGGGGTGTAAGCAAATCGGATAGGTAGGGAGGTGTGAGGGCATGAAGGGATTTGAAAACGACTGAGAGGATCTTACAGAAGCAACTCTTGCTGGAAGTGTGCATGAGTGGATACTGGACTAACACCAGAGTTATCTCAGCTGTGATTCCCCCTGCAGTTTGATTGCCTACTGACATTCAAAACCTTGGGTCACTTGTGAAAAAAGGCCTTTGGACAAGGCAACAGAGGGCTGCTACTACCCACAGACGCAGCCTGTAATGAGGGAAAATTGGAAGCAAAATCATTTTGTTCCATATACTTTTCCAGTATTCAGTCCAAAACCTAATATAGTCAAAGAACATATGGAAATATTATAGTAGTGGTAATACTTTGCTGAATAATAAGTAAATAATAATAATCCTTACATGTGACATTGCACTTTATTGTGTTGATGAATTATCTCAAAGCTCTTCACAGGATTTATTGTAAAATGTAGTGACTGTACGTTTGTAGGCAAACAAATATTATCTGTTTAATGTTTTGTAAGTAATTATTTCCCTCAGTTAATTTACATTACAAAACACAACATTAAAATGTAGTTTCTAAAGTACAAAAAAGCCATAATAAAGAGAAAGATGTTAATGGTTCCCAGCGTGTAACACCCTCCTCCAGTTTCTGAAACTAATTGTGTGTGTTTTCATGTGGTAATTTTAATCTAACTGAGCTAAAATAATAAACTATTTCTATAACACGTTTTCTTTCTATAGCTAAACAGAATCACTATTGCAATGTTTCCAAGGTGCGCACCACAACTGATATACTGAGCACTGTGTCTTGTCTCCTGCTGCTCTATAGAGAAATGAGACCCAGGGGTCCCCCTGAGCGATAGTTGCATGATAGTGACTCTGGATGTGCAACTCTGGATAGAAACTCTGGATGATGCATGATAACAGCTCTGGATTCTTGCACTATTAACAGAATGTTTGAGAAACTGTGTGGAACTGAGCCACACAGCAGTGGAAAGGTTGCAGGTTTAATCGCTGATCTATGATGAGTTAGGTGATCTTACCCAACGCAGTGATAGGGTTGTTATAATTGACCTCAATGCTATTAGGCCAAGGAGGAGGAAAATCATTCAAGGTTTTCATTGATCCCCAGATCTAAGGCTGGAAATGCACAAGCTGATGTTGGTTAAGAATAAGACTGGGCTCAGCTGTGATTCCCCACAGTGGGTAGGTAGCCTGTCAAATATCATCATCACAATGGATGAATGGGCATTTAGGTGAAGTAATCAGGGTGACTAAACTTTGCCCAGCACAACTCAGTACCTTCAGGAAAGAGGAGAGAAATTTTCAGGGGGGTGGATACTGTACTCTTCTGCACCCCCCTGGAGCTCCATTAGACTTAATATCTAATTCAGCTGCTCTAATATAATATTATCCTCTTTTAATGCTCTGTCTTGTCTGCCACAAATCTTTCAGTATTTCCCAGACTCTTTTTTGTTGACTTTCCCATTCTCCGCACTACAGTGCACCTCCCTTGCCAAGACCTTCACACTCATTTGCTTACATGGAACAGGGCTGCACAATTTAGAGCCTTTTTTTAAGTAATAAAGCAACACTTGCTATATGCTACTTCCAGGATGTAGGATGCAGTCACAATGTCAGTTCTCTCATGGCAGATTTGAATGCTCCAGCTCAGAGGGGAAATGCCACAGGGGATCCAGAAACTATTTCCTTACCACTGAGTTTCATGGCATGATTGCAAATTCCCAGTAGTGCCTGCCTTAAACGCTTGAGCGTAGTGTAATTAAGGGCGCTTGGATATGAATCTGCTAGTCAGGGGATTTTGACCTGTCTTCCATTTTATTTATTACCTACATTTTCCTAAAAATTTTAATTCTGTGTAATTTTTTTTATAAATGTTTCTACAAATGGAATTTTAAACAAATGTAGAGCTTTAATTGAAATATTATTTAGGTTATTCATCATAATCTTGATGAATTATGTAAAAAATAAATATCGGATGTCGGAGTCCTTCCTAGACAGTCTCTCGAGCCTGAGGAATATTTGGGTAACACACAGGGAGGTACTATCTTATTCTGACAGTGGACTATTGATGTGTGGGTCTGTTTTTTCTATAGTGAATAGATGTTCATTTTCCCTACTTGTATGTATAAGGGGGAGGGGAGAAGGGAGTCTGCACTAACGTGCCTTATATTGCGGAAATATTTGTCCAGAATTGCAGGGAAATTTGGCAAATTTTGTGGGCAATTTCGGGAGGTGGAATGGGGGTCATTAGTGCTATTCTCAGAGAGCGAGAGAGAGATGCACACCAAAACAGATACATACTCGCAGACACAGAAGACACACATATACACACACACACACACAGAAACACACACATACAGACAGAGGAGAGAGAGACACAGACACTCATAAACAAACACACAAAGAGAGGAGAGACACTCACAAACATATACAGAGGAGAGAGAGACACACAGACACACCCACACAGACAGTCACAAACACAGGAGAGACAACAACAACAAGATTGCATTTATAGAGCGCCTTTCATGTCGGGAGGACGTCCCAAGGCGCTGTACAGTTGGGTCGAGACCCGAGCAGGGGGGAAATGGTCAGGGTGAGGGGAGGGAAGGGAGGGAGCGAGGAAGGGGTAGAGAGTCGAGAGGGGAGCTGAAGGCACGGTTGAAGAGAAATGAAGAGACACACAGACACACCCACACAAACACATACACAGGAGAGAGATACACAGACAATTTCAACAGCGAGGCCTCGGAGTGGAGCGAAGCCCATTTCCCACTTGCGCTTCACCATGCGTACGTGTCTGGAGCACTGAATGCAGCAATTCAGTGCAGCGCTTCCCCCGGCACTGAACTGGAGTGTCAGCCCCAACCACAGTAATGTGGGGTAAACAACCAGCAGCAGCGCGCAGAGCCCCATGGCACCAGAAACTGCAGTAGCCGATTTTAGCGGAGTTTATACCAGAGGACGCTGTTTATGGCGGATTCCACAGAAAAATTGCCACCGCACTTTCTATTGGCCCAGCTTATAGGCTTCAGCTATAGAGTTAGTGCATTTCTGAAACTTAAATTGACAGGAACTGAATATTTACCCTTTTGGGTGATAAATAGTCTGCTGGACTGGTATTTCATGGTTTCACAGACCATTAAGATGGTGTAATAAATGGTAATTTTCACATAAGGATGCAGAACAAGTACCTAGCTTAAATTAAGTTGAATTGATGTTCTGTTTTCCTCTTTTCAGGCAGAGTTAAACGGCCCAATAAATCCTTGCATTAATGGAAACCTGAAAATTTCAGCATCTCCCAGAAGCTTAAGTGCAGCTCCACATATAGGTTACAGAATAGGAAGTATTCTTTCTCAGCTCTACCTGCCTTCTGTGGTTCCTCACCTTCCTGTGCCTCAGCTACCACCACAACGAGCTCCACTTCCCAGACAACCTAAGATAGAAAAAAAAATGTCAGGTCTTACCCTCAGGTATGAATGAATTCTCAACATTTGCACTTACTTGTTTTTACTTCCAGTTATACTATTATAACAAGTTCATTAGACCTGGTGTTGTAAATAAACATCTAAAATCTGAACCGTTGCAGCTACAACATTTATGTCAGATAGGCAGATAGTTTGTTCAGGGTAGAAACATATGAAATAGTACACTTTGGAAGGAAGAATAGGGAAAGCAAATGCACCTTAAAGATATTAAATGGAGTAGAGGATCAGGGGATCTTGGTTTGCATATGACACAGCTCTACACATTAAGGGTAGCAGTTGAGGTAGATACAACAACAACAAAATTACATTTATAGTAATAGAGGACATCCCAAAGCGCTAAACAGTCAGATGTCAGGGCCCGAGCATGGGGGAGGGGTAGTGTAGGGGTGAGGGAAGGCAGAGAGGTGGGAGGCAGACCAAAGGCACGGTCGAAGAGAAGGATCTTGAGACCGGCCTTGAAGAAGGCAAGGGAGGAAGCGAGGTGAAGGGACGTGGGATGGAGTTCCAGAGTGTGGGGGCAGAGAGGCTGAAACCCCGGCCACCGATGGTCGGGCGGGAGACATGGAGCAGACCGGAGCCCGATGAACAGAGGGAGAGGGCAGGTTGGTAGGGATTCAGCAGGTCAGAGAGGTAGGAGGGGGCAAGGCCATGGATGGCCTTAAAGGTGAGGACGAGGATCTTGAACTTGATCCTCTGGGGGATGGGGAGCCAGTGGAGTCGGGTGAGGATGGGAGTGATGGAGGCAATAAAATGACAAATGACAAACACTTGTTTTATACCTAAAGGTACAGAGTAGAAAAACAAGAAGACAAGGGTGAATGTGTACAAGATTTTAATTAGGTGACTGTTGGAAATTTTACACACACTATTATAGGAAGGATATAAAAGCAATAGACAGGTCCAATGTAGATAGTGTATCGTTCGGGATCAGTTGGTGTCACTCTTGCCTCTGAATCAGAAGATTGTGGGTTCAAGCACCAATTCAGGACTTTGAACTCACACGTCCTCCTAACATGAAAGGCATTACACCAAATGTAAGGAAATAGGATATTTCTCAGAAACAAGGGTTTTGGCTGAAAAGTTATGGCTTTTTTGCACTAGAGCAGAGAGCAATACGTTTTGACCTGATATAAATCTACAAAAATATTATAGAGATATGATAAAGTAAATAGGAATATTTCCTCTCTTCTGCAGGATGGGAACGAGAGGGCAAAAAAATATATAGTGACAAAAAGCGTTCGAGGAGAATTAGAAAATATTTAGTGCACTGATGGTAACAAAGAATTAATTACTGGGAGGAAAAAAGCATCTGCACCAGAATGGGTCATTTGAAACATTCATACTTCACTTCAGATTAATTGATCATACACAAATGGCTATTTTTTGAACCTTGCTGGTGCAAATGGCTGCTATGTGGTTAAGAATTATTACAATTAATAACAATTATTTGTTATTATAATTATTTGTGAAGTGCTCCAAGAAATTTCAAGAAATGGCACTATAAAAATGCAAGTTCTTCAATTAAACTCCACAATTTGAATGTCTTTTGTCTGAATTGAGTACTTTATTGCAGTTTTGATTCACACCTCATGGTGGCAATATATCTTTATTTGGAGTATCAAATATATCTCGTGATTGATGATCCGCCATGTAAAGTTGCTCTTATTTATCTTTAAATTCCAAACCAAGGTTCAAGAAAGAACATTGTTAATGATTTGCTAGATCTGATGCCTACATTGAAATCCATTTGCTATATCTTAATCCATCATTTTATGTTAGATATATTTTTGAATGTTTATTCCTGCTTGCATTTGTTACCTCATTTGCATAATGTGGTGTCATTAGAAATATTGCAAACAAATTATTACAAAGTTATTGTTGGCTAATTAATAGTAAAGTCTAAATAATGCCATTATTACTATTCCACTGCCCTCCCATATCTAAATCACACCTATACATAGACAAATGTGTAAATATTAAACAAGTACACAGAGATATAAACATTGACTCAAAAAGGGCCACAAACATATAGAGAATGAAAATAATGGTAGCCTAATTACAACCCTCTCACCTCCAGCTGCAAATATATGTATCAATAAGCTGAATCTGCTGGAGGTCCTTTAAGGTGTTTTTTCATTTTGATTTATTCAGTTGGAAAATTTGAGGGGTAATCTTTCCAACGCAGGCAAAAAAATATGTCAAAGTGTATCTGAAGTGTGAAGTCTGTGAACTGTGGAAGAACTTGTAAATCAAGTCGAAGAGATGGTAGCCATGAGGAGGGTGGTCAGTTAAGTTAGTTTATCCTCTTAATCAGCTTGCAATTGCAGATTGTAGCTTGCATTTTAAGACAACAACAACAACATTACATTTATAGAACACCTTTCACGTCGGGAGGACGTCCCAAAGCACTGAACAGTCAGGTGTCGGGGCCCGAGCATGGGGGAGGGGTGGTGTAGGGGTTAGGGAAGGCAGAGAGGTGGGAGGGCGACCAAAGGCACGGTCGAAGAGAAGGGTCTTGAGACCGGCCTTGAAGGAGGCAAGGGAGGAAGCGAGGAGAAGGGACCGTGGGATGGTAGGGCTGGTCGGGCGGGAGACATGGAGCAGGCTGGAGCCCGATGAACGGAGGGAGAGGGCAGGTTGGTAGGGAGTCAGCAGGTCAGAGAGGTGAGGGGCAAGGCCATGGATAGCTTTAAAGGTGAGGACGAGGATTTTGAACTCGATCCTCTGGGGGATGGGGAGCCAGTGGAGTCGGGCGAGGGTGGGAGTGATAGGGTCACGGAGCCTGGTGCGTGAGAGTACATGAGCTGCAGAGTTTTGGATGATCTGCAGCTTGTGAAGGGAAGAGTTGGGAAAGCCGATGAGGAGAGAGTTCCCGTAATCGAGCCTTGATGTGAGGAATGCGTGGGTGAGGGTTTCGGCAGCCTGAGGGGTGAAGCAGTGGCAGAGTCTGGCAATGTTGCGGAGGTGGTGGTAGGCAATGCCAGTCTTGGCGCGGATGTGGGGAAGAAAGGACAGTTCAGGGTCAAACCAGATACCCAGGTTCCTGACTGGCTTAAGTGAGGTTGAGTGCGCAGCCGTGGAGGCTGTTGCTGCCAGCGCCTGAGGTGGAGAAGGGTTGGTTCTGCGGACCTCTGCCAGAAGCGATGTTCAGCATAGCTTTTTTGATGTTCATCCACTTGCAGCCTGTTGATTCCTTGTATCTTCAAAGGAAGGCTGCCCATTTAGAATGACATTGTTGAGACCAATATTTTGTGGCTGAAAGCAGTCATAGTTGAAGTTAAACAATATTTCACATAAAGGTATAGAAAAGGGAATATAAGGGAGAAGGGGATATCCACGTGGAGTATAAACATTAGCATGGACTAGTTGTGCCGAATACTGTTCTGTCCTGTACAGTTTATATAATTCTACATAAAGAAACTGGTTCCCCATCCTTCCTGCTACACAAGCTGTCATAATGGTTCCTTGGACACTAGCGTGCAGCTTTTTAACACCTAGATCTACTGATTGTATCTTAGCACTGGTGGTAAAAGTCACCAATAAACATAATTTGAATAGGAAAATAACACTGCTCTGAATCTCACCTGTTAATGAGAACCAATTAAGGTGTCGGCCTGACTCAGTTGGTTGCATTGTCTCCTCTGAGTTAGAAGGTTGTGGGTTCAAGCCGCACATTAGGACTTTGAACTCACAGTCTAAGCAGACACTCCAGTGTGGTACAGGTGGTGTTTTGCTGGAAGGGCTGTCCTTCATATATGACGTTAAACCAAAGTCCCATTTGCCTATTCAGGTAGATGTTAAACGTTCATCACAGTATTCAAAAGGAGAAGGGGGTTTCTCCAATGTCCTGGCCAATAAGCCCCAAATAAAATTGGTCATTTGGTAATTCAAATACATAGTCACTACACTTTACAGTATTTCCTGTGAGGTGTCCTTCTGACGTGAACTGCGCTATATCAAATGAAAGGATTATTATTAATAAAGAATTTTACTCTAATAAAATACAAACATTTGCACCACAAAAACAATGTACGGAATTTGATATGTCTTTTAATGAAATGCATATTAATACTTTCTCCCAAATTCTGTGACATTGAATTATTTAATTGATAGAGAATTGCACGGAATTTAGACCCATAAATTCACTGCATTTTCCTTATACTTACCGCCTCAAAGAATTCCATCAATTAAGGAGACATAGATTGTCTCTTTTAAATCCATGTTGACAGGACTTTGTGCTACTGTGCTTTTTAGGGCTTAGCGTTGATCTTTTTGTTAAAACTGGAAGAAGTTTGTTTCTTTGAATCTGCAATAATGAATAGTTCCTAATTTTAAAGTAACTAATTCAGGAAATTGAATGCTAAAAGATTCATAAATTACAGAATTCAACTATGAAGTATGGAATTCAAAAATACTGAATTGAGATGTTTTCACTGTGGTAAATAAATATCCATTGAAATTTTAAGCTTATTCAAAAGATGCAATAATGCACTTAAACAATTGTTTGATTTCAGTTCTTCATTCTAATTTCACTTTTTATTCGCAAGTAACAGCTGGTTGACTGTTTCATGCTCAATATAACATCAGAAATAGAAAATCATCCCTACTACCCTGGACAGCTGTTACCTTCTAACAGCAAATCTATGGAGACTATTATTGCATATAGAAATGCCAATAAATATCACTTGCTTTGTTTAGTTTTACCAACAAGAGATAAACTAAAAGTGTACTTTTTGGAATCATTTTAAGCAGTTTTTATGCAGGGCAATATAATTTATGCATCACCATGGGAGCATCTGGCACTTAGAAGCTCAAGCAAAACTCAAATGATCTGGATGAATCCACTTGATAATTCAAAACCTTCATTCATGCTTTTATCACCCGAAGGCAAGATTTCTCCAACACTCTACTTGCAAGCCTCCCTATCTCCGTCGTCCATAAGCTCCAACTCATCTAAAACTCTGAAGTCCAAATTCTCTCCTGTACCAAACTCCAGGCATCCATTACAAAGCTCCACACACACACAGCCCTGTATCCTTGCCAGGATTTACAGGCTCCCGCAGGTTAGCTTCAAGATTCGTATCCAGACCTTCTTTAGAATTCTCTCCCCAAATTACTTTTGGTTTGTGCTTCTCTTCCTGTCATTTGCAAAAGATCTTAAAATTGTATCTCTTTGGCTATGCCTTTTTGTTAACACTCAAATTCTCTGAACTTCCCTCCCTGCTCGGTGATCACAGTCATCTGGTACGAAGTGCTTTGAGACATTCATCCTTTATGAAAGGCTTCTTATAATAATATTCCTTACATTTGGTATTGTGTCTTTCACGTTGGGAGAATGTCTCAAAGCACTTCAGGGGATATACTGTAATGTTTGCCTACAAATATACACTTGCTCCACAACAAGTGCAAATATTTTTTATTAGGATACTTATGAAAGGATTTGCCTTTCAATCCCAGCCTTAATTGTTATTCATATTTTCTATGGAGAGCTCATAAAGGTATGACATAGCAACTCAAGGTAGTGCAAATTAAAAGTTACTTCACATCAGTACTCCTTGCCTCTTTGTGACTAATTTGGAGCAGCACTCAAGATTAATTTGGATCTTTTGAGCATGGAGGACAGGGGAGGAGGGTCGGGACGGTAGTTGGGGGTTGGGGTGACCGTATTGTTATGATTAAAACATGGCACTTTTTTTCCAAGTCTTCGAAATTATGTTTCTCACACATAAATACACAGTAAATAATTTTTTTTAATTAATTAATTTTTATTGAACAACATATGCAAAAGAAAGAACATAAATAGGGGTTGAAAGAGTCACAACCCCCCAAAAAACTCTACCTAATGAATTATCTAATTTCCTATTAATCACTTAATCTTTTTCCCCTACATACAATTGGGTTCTAAGTTTATGGTGTCAAATGTAGCGTGTAATGCGTACACATGGGAGAGGGAACAGTTGTCTTAGCTGTTTGCTTTGCGTAATTGAGTGGTCACCATTGAGTGTTTAAACTGCAAATTAACAGCAGCTGTGACCATATCAATTGACTTACTACAATTGACCAACTACAGGCAAAACACGGATGTACAAACAGTTTCCTTTTCATATATTTTGTTTTCCCAGGCCAGGTGAGCCACGAGTACATGGTCGCCTTTTTAGACTGCTCTGTGTCACTTTGTTTTGTTCACAGTAATTAAAAGTAATGTTTGCCACAGTGACTAAATGGCAAAGCCCAAATTTATTTCACAAATTAAACTGATGACTTTTATTTAATTGATGAATTAAAAATTAAATTGATGAATTAATTGATGACTTTTGATTCACTGCAATTGTTTTGTGCACAGCCCTATATCATCATGCTTTATAGGCATGATCTGTAAAGTCCTATGTTCGAGTGTTTGGTGTTAATAAGCTTTCATTATATGTTGTGAATAGAGTGCTTCTCATTATGTGCTACACGCTGCCCAGTAGGGCGTTGATTATTAAACACTGTTTCGAATAGCTTGTAGCATCACTGCCTAAACATTAAAAAAAATTCTTATTGTGCACAGCAGGAATTTATGCAGCGGTGCATTTTGGATGCGTGTTGTGTTTTTAATGGTTTATTTCCCAGGTCAGTGCACATTGCGCTAGGACTTATTTGTTTCCACCAGTCATGCGTGACTTTTAAATGGGGTGAAAATGAGATTGTAATATGCGCTAATGACACATTCACAAGCATGAAAATAAAGTACAGCTCTGCATCCTGTTCAGAATAGATTGCACTGCCTATTTATATAATTTAACCGGTGGTTGGAGTAAGATGCCAATAGGCACAGATCATAAATTTGAATTGGAATTTACTCTTCATCAAACAGGAAGAAATAATAAGGTTGAAAATAATAAGCTTAATGTTTACCTGGGGTATGTATGAGATACAATGTGTGAGGAGGTGGAGATTCAGCAGTGAAAGAGTGCATTCTGGAGACAATTAGAATGAATGGGAATATCGTAAGGGACGCTGAGAATAGCTTGAAGTCATTCAGCAAAGGATTAGTTGAGAGTGTAGGAGGTTGAAGAAGAATCTTAATAAGCATTGGGCAGGGGAGGTAATAACATTACACTTAAGGTGATGCTGTAGAGCAGTAGACATATGTTCTGTCATCCATCAGCAGTATGTCAACATCTAACTTAATAGTAATATTGTTTTGTTCATCCTAGTATACATAAGCTGAAGACCTGCAGACTAGTTGGCTGACAGAAAGGAGTTTCCTTAGATCTGCAGGCAGTCTAAGAGTTAATGTTCTGCCTAGCAGTCAGCCACCGGTCAATTCTCTTACCATAAACCTCCAAGTGAATCAAGAATTGGTAGGATAAATGAGCTGTCAGTACTGCTAAGGAAATTGGCACCCACATTCATAAAATTCATGGCACTATCCGTGCCTTTAAATTAATAGAATAGAAGCCTTTCCTGGTAAGATAGATTTGCACATCCTTTGCTGATCAATGGATGAGCCAGTGGGTGCAAAACAGGTGAAATCGCCTTTTTAGGTTCCTGCTGTTTGGAAATTTGGAGAACTAACATAGCATTACATTCTCCAAACAGAGCAAGTTTGACTTGAGAAATGTTTGGATGTTTTTAACTGACTTATTCCCTTGGTTATGTGAGGTATCTAAAAGAGACTGGTAGATTAAAGTTGAAAATGGCATTGGAATGGACATGAAATAACCTGTATCAACCTAGAAGCATGAATGAACTGGACAAGTTTCTAGAAAAATAAAATAATTTGGGTTTATTAGTGGTAAGATAAACATGTTAAAGAAATGTTTGGAGTCTTTGGAAGGGTAGCTAGATGGACCAATAGTTTCAGGTTCCTTTGTAATTATAATAGATCAAGTGTTTTTAACTTCTTATATAACATTAGACAACGTTTCTTTGTTAAACCTGAACCATTATCTTATTTATCTATATAACTAATGCAACATATGTAATTCCTGAGGAATGTTTTTTCTTTCTACAGAACAAGGGTATTGAAATCTTTTATTTTGTCATTATGAAATCCTAAAACAAAAGCTCAACATCAGCCATCTGTGGTGTACATGTGTGTTTGTGTGTGTGTGGTGTGTTTGTGTGTGTGTGAATGTGCTAGGTTTGGCTCCTTCACTGACTTCTCTTTCCTTACAGAAACATATCTAGGCCAAATGAAACAGCCAAAGTTGTGAATGCAGCACAATGGAAACTTAACCTGTGTCCTGCTATTCTGTGTCTTTTTACCCACCATTGTCTTAATTCTCCAACTCCTGGTTTAACATGGCTTCTTAAGGAGAAAATGTTTAATACAGAGATTTTGTTTTATTTCAGAGAAGAAATAATGTTACCAGAAGCAATTTATCAAGCACCCCCTAGCTTTAATGTTCGCACAAGCTTTGATCTCCGGAGAATAATGGAAGATCAGGTAAAATTGTAGTAATTATGCCAGCAGTCAAGGTTAATTAAAAATTACATTAATATCCCTTTTTAATGATACAAATCTGATTATTTTAATTGGTTTCAGATTTTCTTCTTTGGAGAATGGACAGCGCAAACCCACTTGTACTAATGGGCAATGCTACCTTATTCATTTTAAGATACCTTACAATTTATGAATATATAGCATCTCACAGCACTGAAAAAATCTGGTGTAATACCAAATAAAGTAGTATATAAATTAGTAACAGATCACTCAGATATTGTTTAGGATATAGTGATTAAAGTCGCAGCGCAAGCTGGCAGTTATATCCATATTATAAATATTTATGAGACTAATGGTGCATTCATATGGAGCTGGCAATGAAGTAGCTTGGCTCCCAATTGTATAAAAATGAAGACAGTAAGCTACATAATTTAGTTCATTATAATAATATTCCTTGCATTTGATATAGCACCTTATTATGTCTTTGAGACATCCCACAAACAGTCGTGGATTGAAGTGACCAATTTATTATTATTATTATTTTTTGAAGGAGTTATAATCCCGGAAAAGCGATCCGCCAATCAACTAACAACCAGGTTCCTACTTACTGCTAGGTAAACAGAGGCGTGTGGAGTAAAGAAACTTGGCCAACATTTCGCCCTGCCGGGAATCAAACCCAGGTCTCTTGCTTGCGAGGCAAGTGCTGTAACCAATGAGCTACAGGACTCCATTATAAAAACATAACAAAAGGATTGCTGTTTGTAGTGATCAGTGTAAAATAAATCCCATTAGTGATGATGTGTATTGAAAATGCAGTTTGAAAAATTCAAGTTTACTTTTGCTTTCCTTCATAGTTAATACAGAACGGTTTAACTTATGTTCTTTATTTGTTGACAGTGGAGGAAAGAACTGCAGGTAAAACTGGAAGAAGAGGAAGAAAACAGGGAGATAGAACTACAAGACAAAATGCAAAAAGAGATTTGGAAAGAAGGAGAAAGTTCACAAAATATCAATGACACATTAAACTCCTCTCATAATGAAATGTAGCTAGATTATTTGTGACTCTTGTACTGCTGCAAGATTTAACTACAGAATTTGTGTCTGACAATTTCTTGTGGAAAACGAGCCCTGTTGGAACAAAAATGCAACTACTGTACCTCTCTCCCACTTTTCACTAATATTCTGTCAAATTTCATTAAAAGTTCCAGTCTCAAAGATGCTATTACTGTGATGCTAATTTTTAACTATGAATAATGCCTGTGCTCTTGTTAAAAAATCCAATAAGTGATGACTGTGAGAGTGAACAGAGAAGTGCAGTGCCACAATTTTGTACCAGCCTGGAGCACTACACACTACAATATGCAAGCTCATTAAGGCTTCAGTGGCAATAAATGTTGAAATTTTATCTCGTCCACAGACTGTTTTACAATATAATCAACACTAATTCTCACACACTATGCTGCTGACCACTTCTTTAAGTGTACAAAATTATTTGAACAGAAATCTAGCCCTAGCTCAATCCTGGTATACGGGGGGGTAATTCAAAATATTTTTATGTTCAGCAAAGCATTCCTGCTGATGCCAGAAAATACATTGTAGATCAGCAAATTATTGACTATTAGGACATGACTCCCAACCTCATCTTTATTTCAAATGAGTCGATCTTATTGCAGAGAAGAGTTTTCTGATCCAAACACCTTACCTTGTCCACTTGGAATTAGTAATGTCGTCATATAAATAATCACCTATATTGATATCAGCAATATCTGATAACGGAGAGGGAGTCTGTTTTGTCTGAGGCTGCAGGTAATCTTTACCATTTAGCATTGCAGCCACCATCTCCTTGCACCACATCCTGAAAGAGAAAAGTCCAACTTCAATTATTGAAGGCTGCAGGCAGCAAAAGGAAAAGCTGTGAAATTGATTTCTTGCCTTTGATTGTTTTGCACCTCGTCATTTTGCTGCCTGCTGTATCTAGCCTTCTGTTACATTTGCCTTCAAGTGACCTGCAGGGGAGCACTGGTAGGAATTCTGAATAGCTAGGAAGATTATTTGCCTGTCAGACATTTCCTAAGAGTTGAGAAAAAACTGATAGATTGTTGTTCAGTCTGGTCATTCACTTTTTGCAGAATTAGGTATCAGTTATTATTCATAAAAATCTACACACAGAATGGTTGAAATGTGGAATTATTTGCTACAGATCACTGTTAGATTAATTCTACTTAAAAGCAATTAGATAGATGGTTGAGAAAAGGAATATGAAAGGACAGGAGGAACAAGCATGGCTTGAAGAATGGTAGATTCCATAGGGAAATGTGAGTGATTCACTTTCGTAGGAAGAATAAAAAAGCTAAACTCTGAATCATAGGAACCTGAGAGGGAGATCCAGATTTACAGGACTCTAAAATTAGTAGTACAGGTGGACAAAGCCATGAAGAACGCGGAGAGTCGTTGGCTCTATGGCCAGAGGAATAGAGTATAAGAGTAAGGAAATAGAATTATAGAATACTATAGCACAGAAGGAGGCCATTCGGCCCTTTGTGCCTGTGTTGGTTCTTTGAAAGAGCTATCCAATTAGCCCCACTCCCCTGCTCTTTCCCATTGCCTTGCAAATTGTAATGCTAAATTAATATAAAACCATGATAAGACCACATTTGGAGTACTGTATACAGTTCTGGTTGCCACCTTACATGAAAGATCAAGCATTAGAGACAGTACAGCATAGGATGTTTCCAGGGTTGAATGCATATTATTAAAAAAGATTGGACAAGAAACTTGCAGCTTTTCTCTCGAGAGTTGAAACCATTGAGAGGGGACCTGATAGATTATGAAGGATTTGATAAGGTAGGTGTTGATAGCCTTTTTCCACTTGATGGTGAGTCTATAACTGGAGGACAAAAGTATGATACAGCTAGTAGGAGACCTAATAAGCAGTTTTAGGAACAACTTTGCACGCAGAGAGTGATGAGAATGTGAACTCACTGTCGGAAGCTGTGGTTGAAGCAAAAAGGATCAATATTTAAGAGAAAACTTGATGCAAACATGAGGGAGAAAGGAACAGATGGGCATAGTTGACACAAATAGGAGGAGTGGGGGCCCGTGAAGTATAAACTTCACATCTTAGTGAAACATATAAGATTCTTAAAGGGCTGGATAAAGTAGACACTGAGGGTCTGTTTCCCCTGGTAGGAGAATCTATAACCAGGGATCACAGTCTTAAAATTAAGGGTCAGCCTTTTAGAACAGAGTTGAGGAAACATTTCTTCACTCAGAGGGTAGTGAATTTATGGAATTCACTACCCCAGAAGACTGTAGATGCTCAGTCCTTGAACATCTTCAAGGCTGAGACTGATAGATTTTTAAAAAAACAGAGGGATTAGGGGTTCTGGGGATAGGGCAGGTAATTAGAGTTAGGTCTGAAGATCAGCCATGATCTTATTGAATGGTGGGGCAGACTCGAGGTGCCGAATGGCCTACTCCTGCTCCTAATTCTTATGTTCTTATGTTCTTATAAACACTGGCGAGGGTTAATTGGGCTGAATAATATGTTTCCGTGCCATATCATTCTTTGTAACTCTATGTAGATGAGATTAGGTGGCTCATGGAGAGATAAACAGCAGCACATTCATGAAGGGTCAAATGTCCTTTTCTCTTTTGCAACATTATATGATTCTGTCAAGGGTAGTTGCTATTCTGGGTCTCGTCAGGCAAATCACACAAGGACCTCACATACATATTAAAGGGGGTTCAGGAGCAGAGAGACCTGGGGGTTCACATACACAGGTCTTTAAAGGTGACAGGACAGGTTGATGGAGCTGTTAAAAAAGCATATGGGATCCTTGGTTTTATAAATAGAGGCATAGAGTACAAAAGCAAGGAAGTTCTGCTAAACCTTTAGACGTCACTGGTTAGGCCTCCGTTGGAGTATTATGTCCAATTCTGGGCACCACACTTTAGGAAGAATATCAGGGGGTTGGAGAGGGTACAGAGGAGATTTACCAGAATGGTACCAGGGATGAGGAACTTTAGTTATGTGGAGAGACTAAAGAAGCTGGGATTGTTCGCCTTACAGCGGAGAAAGTTAAGGGGCGATGTAATAGAGGTATTCAAAATTATGAGTGGTTTTGATAGAGTAGAAAGGGAGAAATTGTTTCCACTGGCCAGTGACCAGTAACCAGGGCACATATATTTAAGATAATTGGCAAAGAACCAGAGGGGATATGAGATTTTTTTTACATAGAGAGTTGTTACGATCTGGAATGCACTGCCTGAACTGGTGGTGGAATCAGATTCAATATCAACTTTCAAAAGGGAATTGGATAGGTATCTGAAAACGGTCCACCGACGGCCTAACGGTCCACCGACAAATCTGGCTGGACCTCCTCAAAATTTACCGCTCCACTCTAGCCTCGGCCAAGTCGTCCTTCTACTCCAGGATAATCCTGGAGGCGAAGAACAACCCCAGGCTACTGTTTTCCACCACAACCCGACTCCTCCGTCCCCCCGCCACCCCGCGCAGGTCATCTCCTCCAACCTTCACTGCGAGGAGATGCTGGATTTCCTTGAATCCAAGATCAAGGGAATCCGCTCCGCGGTCACTTCCCCTCCAACTTCCACCCACCACCCACCCCTTCCCTCCCACACTCCGACTCCTACCCATCCTCCCCTACACACCTTCGTACCCGTTTCCCCACCCTCTGTCACTGAACTCATCCTATCCCTAAAACCAACCACCTGCTCCCTTGACCCCATCCCCACTCCACTCCTTATCTCCCAGCTCCACTTTCTTGCCCCACATATCACTGACATCATCAACCTGTCCCTCTCCTCTGGCTCTGTCCCCATTCCATTAAAAACTGCCATCATCACGCCCACCCTGAAAAAACCCTCCCTTGATGCGTCGCAGCTATCAAGCTACCGGCCCATCTCCAACCTCCCCTTTCTCTCCAAGGTCTTGGAAAGAGTTGTCGCCTCCCAACTGCGCTCTTTCCTTTCCACCCATTCTCTTTTCGAACCCCTTCAGTCAGGTTTCCGTGCTGCCCATAGCACAGAAACTGCCCTGGTCAAGGTCACCAATGATATCCTGACCATCTGTGACCAGGGCTCCCTCTGTCTCCTCGTCCTCCTCGACCTATCGGCAGCATTCGATACGGTCGACCACGCTATCCTACTCCACCGCTTGTCCTCCCACCTCAACCTTCAAGGCACTGTCCTTGAATGGTTTAGGTCGTACCTTTCTCACCGTCTTCACTTTGTCTCGACGAATGGCTTCTCCTCCACCCCCCGCACTGTCTCATGTGGTGTCCCTCAGGGCTCTGTCCTCGGTCCCCTCCTCTTCACCCTCTATATGCTCCCCCTCGGTGACATCATCCGCAGACATGGAGTTAACTTCCACATGTATGCGGATGACACCCAACTCTACCTTTCCTCCTCTACTCTCAACTCCACGACCACCGATGTCCTGACAGCTGCCTGTCCGACATCGAGTCCTGGACGAGAGACAACTTTCTTCAGCTCAACGTGCGAAAAACCGAGGCCCTCCTGATTGGCTCACGTCAGCGCCTCCGCACCTCAGGCGCTGACACCATCAGCATCCAAGGCTGCACTCTCCACCTCTCAAAGCCAGTCAGGAACCTCGGCGTTTTGTTCGACCCTGAGCTGTCCTTTCTCCCTCACATCCGCACCACAACTGGCACCGCCTTCCATCACCTCCGGAACATCGCCAGACTACGGCACTACCTCACCCCTCACGCTGCTGAAACCCTGGTTCACGCCTTTGTCACCTCAAGGCTGGACTATGGGAACTCTCTCCTCGCCGGCCTTCCCGCCACCTCCCTCCACAAGCTGCAGGTCATTCAGAACTCTGCAGCTCGTGTACTGTCCCGCACCAGGCTTCGGGACCACATCACTCCCACCCTCGCTCGCCTCCACTGGCTCCCCATCCCCCAGAGGATTGATTTCAAGATCCTCATCCTCACCTACAAGGCCATTCACGGCCTTGCTCCCTCCTACCTCTCCAACCTACTATCCCCCTACCTACCTGCCCGTACCCTCCGTTCCTCTGGCTCCGGTCTGCTCCACGTCCCCCGCCCCAACCGCCCTACCATCGGTGGTCGGGCCTTCAGCCTCTCAGCCCCCAGGCTCTGGAACTCCATCCCCCAGTGCCTTCGCCGCTTCCTCCCTTTCCTCCTTCAAGGCCGGTCTCAAAACCTTTC